CCCCCCCGGCAACGAATGGTCCCCTATCAGTGATCATAAGGGTGACAGACTTCCCATAACACGACACCTTTACACACGTCCCAAATGGTAAGGTCTTATGGGTGGCCGTCAAGTTGCATCAAGTCTGTGCATCGACTATGAGGGCACCGGGAGGTGCGCCATAAATTCGAACAAATACCTTTCTCACCAGGAATGGGCATAAATTTAAATTAAGATAACCTTAAATTTAATATTGGCACTATCATACGTTTGTTTTTTTTGTATAAACTTATCATAAGTTTGCGAAACTGTAATGAGAACCACAAGAGTTACCAATTTATACATGATTTTTGCTATGGGTTTGTAATTATACTAATAATACTATTGTATTATAATTATGACTATTAATTAGAAAGTTATTTCAAATCACTTTATACTTAATTTGAATGTATTATCAGTAAATGAGTGAACCCTTTCCAGTGAAATGCCTCGAGTGTGTGAATTGTCCTAGATGTTTACTAATTGCATAATTAGATAAATAATCAATACACATTCATCAATTTCCTATTGACTTTTCATTGAAATTAAATTCCAAGAATATAATATTTTTTATTATTAATGCTTTTATATTTATCATTTATTGGGCTTTTAATGTGTTATCAGTGAACTATCAAATATTTAGTTAGTTTATTTAATTAATAGATTTTCAGTAAAATTGTCATTAAATATTATATAGTATATTTAAAAATTGTAGTATCACACATTAAATATCAACTTAAAACATTAATATTATTTTGAAAAACAAGACTTAAATTTTTCAATAATTGTAAACTAATAAATAATTAATTTTGGTAATCAGTAACTAATAAAATATAAAAAGAAAACTAAAAAATTTTTACCCCAAATATTACGTTTTATATAATTTTTAAAATTTTGAATAAAATAAATTTACCAAAATATTAATATTATGTCTGTTGTATGTTATGAGCCATAACAATGGTCTTAGAGTCAAATAATTGACTAACAGTTATTTATTAATTATTTGAATGTATTGTTGCAAGTGCAATTTCTACATATAGCGTTAAACGTGTTGTAAATATAGTAAAACTGGATATATTGTGTCAGATTTTGATAGGTAGGGAAAGGGATCAGATTATGATTTCTGATTATTAGAAAATAAAACACTCAGTAATGCTGGACTAGGTTTATTAAAGTTTTTCAAAATTTATAATTATAATTGATTATAAACATTTTGTTATAATAATGCAATTGTCAATTCTTTATTATAGAGATAACCATAACTGTATTATGGTTACAAGAATACCATTATTTAAAGTACATACATATGAACATATTCATGATAGGTTATAATTTGTAGCACAACATGAAATAATAAATATAATTAAACAAGTATATTAATTGTTTAATTTGCCACTTTTATTTATATAGTTTATTACCACCAATATACGTGACAAATATATTATATCATACAATAATATTTTTCAAAGCACACATAGTAATAGTACAATACTTTTGTGATACTTAAAACTTTTAAACTGTAATAACATAAATATGTTTCACAATCATTGCAACATATTAACTTATCAAATAATACTATTTATGATAGGATTTAAAATAAAAATTGACATTTAACGTCTATTATATTGAATATACGTTAAAAATGTGCTATTAGCTACCTGGATATGATGAACACTAAATTTAATTTTAGGTAATACCATTTTTGTATATGATAGAAATATTTTTATTAATTATATAAGTTCTGAATAATTTCGAGAAACTCGTACAAAAGAATTAAATTTTATATAATTAATTTTATAAAACTATTATATTTATTTAACCCGGGTAGTCGTTGTAGCCCGTGTAGTCGGTGTAGCCCGTGTTGTAGTTGTAGGCCGTGTAGTAGTTGTAGGCCTTGTAGCCGGTGTTGCCGGTGTAGCCGGTGTTGCCTTTGTAGCAGGTGTTGCCGGTGTAGCCGCTGTAGCCGATGTTATAGCCACAGTTACCAGGATAAATGCCATGGTTATCATGATTAGCACTATTTTTGACATTATTATTATATTAAAGTTTTAAAATTTTATTTATTATAGTATTACTATAAAATAATTATTTTGATTTCAGTTTATATACTCTTAATAAATTTTAAAAATTGTTATTCGAGTTTTATTATTATATAAACATTTATTATTCAACTTATATTTATAGAACTTATTTGCTTGTGTAAATAAAAAACAATTGATCCTCTGGGTTTTGAAAACCGGTATGTATTTTTCAATGCAAACTGTATACATGATATAATCATAATATTAATAGTATGTCACATATTAATGTATACTATCAATACTATGGTTTGGTTATAAATACAGTTTGCATTGAAAAATACATACCGGTTTTCTCCACGTTGACGATCAATTATGTTTAGCTTAGTAATTAGACCTTGTACATAATGATATTGTCGAATTAAAGTTTTTCAATAATAAATGATTAAACCAAACTCATTTCACAAAAATATTATTATACAATTTTAAGTCTAGACATTTATTATATTAGGTATTTTGTAAAAAGTTGTATAGATGACAAATCTTAACTAAATATTAATAAATTCAAAATTAATATTGTTAGATGTAAATTTGCTATTAGCTCGTTAGTAAAAGATACTTACGTATTTTAAATAAATATTTATAAGTTTTAAATAAATAAATCTTTGCATGATATAACATCTAGTTAATTCCAGATACAATTGGTATCTATCATGTAAAATACAGACATTTTTTATGCTAATATATAGTCTATTTTAAAAATATAGTTCAAACACAATACTAAAGATAATATTTATACAAATTACTAAAGAAAATAAATTTTAACTAAAAATTAGTAAAAATATAAACTTTTAATGTTGTTTTAATTAGTTTTATAAGTACAGTGTAGCCTTAAATTATCAATGAAACTTTAATTTAAATTTATTTTAATACCATGTAGTTTATTTGCGTAAAATATAAACTAAAATAATCCTGAATAGTTAGGGTTTTATATAATAAACAACATGTCCATGTTATTCTTAAACAGAATTTTACACAAGGAATTTAATTAAAAAGTTATCAAAAATTTTGTGTTTTTGTATGCGATTCATTGTTATTTTTTGTTAAGTTAAAACTGTCAATAAAACTTATTTGTATGATTTGACACATTGAAATGTAATATTCATAAAACTGTAATTTTATATAAATTAAATTTATTTCGTATATTAATTCAAATTTAAGTCATTTTAAATAACATACTATTTTTGAAAATTACAGTTTGAAAAGAGCTCAAATTATGCCAAAATAACTATGTATTGCAATCAAAAACACAAACATTTTGTTAACTTTTTAATTAAATTCTTTGTGTAACATTCAGCTTAAGAATAAATATCTAAATCTTACAATGATAAACATTTCATGGATATATCTACAAACTGTAGTATCAAACATAAAAAATAAAATTGAAACATTAATATTATAACTTTGCAACTAAACAAGAATTAAATCATTTTGAACTAATAAATTATTAATTTTATTAAATGCTTCATTATAATTACAAAATATACCTCATATTTATCAAGGTAACATTTGTTCAACTTTACTTCAACAGATTTGTCGTCATAGAGTTTGTGAACGATCTAATCGTTTATGGCCTAAACATCTCTACAAAACTAGACCGTTCACACCTCTATGTCTACAATTCTGCCGAGGTGATCCTAGGTGAACCACTGAACAAATCATTAAACGCTGAAATTAATAGATATAGCATGGTCAAAATCTTTGTCTCCCGTTTGTGGTTATAAAATGTGGGGCAATGGGAGGGCTCTATATTCCCGCGAATAGCCGTCTCGACGGCATTACTTGTATCGATCGCAGCGCTAACCATATGCTGGACCATTGTTTTCAGCTCGGGTGTCTCATTGTGAGCCAGCACCATTTGATTGGCATGCCATCTAATTATGCTATGAATGTAAAATAGTTTATTAAATTAGATAAAACAAAACCAAACCAAACAAAACAGTTAATATAGTGTACTGTAAATATGAGTACCATAGTAAATCTGACAGTTAATCCCGCTTGTCCCTATTGATCACATCGGCTAACTGTGCCAATGTTGTCCTCCTTATATCCATAGCCTGGCCTCTCAGTGCGTTATATCTTTTGATAACATCTACACCAGTGGTGACATTGCCTTTACACAAGTCTGTGAGGGCATGTATAGGCAGTCTAGTGGACACGGATAAGATGTCTATTACTTTGGAAACAAAATCAGGCTTTAAGCTTTTTATCCAGTTCACCACTATAACCAAGTTTGCTTGTATTTTGCTGTAAGATGTCCAGTAATATACTTAGTATTGTTTCGTTTAATTAACATACGATATAATGAGAAAATTTTTGCTATAATTAGTGATACTGTAACACAAACATGCGTCAACTTTTTAACATTTATAATGCCCAGGCCATTACAATAGCATTTAGGAATAAGGTAAACTAAAGTTAGTTTATATTAATTTGATTTGAATGTAATGTGGTGTATCAGAATACATAGATGTTTATAGACTGACTTCAGTCAACCTTTATTCCAACTTCTATCTTAATGGATTGAATATACTCTACCTAATATAATATACAACTACATATAGGATTTATCCTATTAGGACTGAATACAAAAATTCAATTCATTATGTCATTGTTAACATTTATACTAATAATAAGTTACATACGCTTGGGTGTCATTGCTTAAATAAAATGTGCACCATTGTGTCAATGTTTCGGGTGTTTCAGGGAATGGACTCCCGGATCCCAAATAATCAATCAAAGTGAATCTATGATCCATTTCATAATTATTATATTTTGTTTCAACTTTTGTCGATTTATGTAATTCTTTAAAAAATAGTTAAATTTATTAATTTAATATTTTAATTATTACAAAACTCATACATGTTTAAACATAGTTTTAGTAATAATTGTCAAATTTTATGAGCATTTATTATATTAATGTATAAGTATGAGAGAGAGGCTGATATAGTTATTATTAAACGAACTTACCATAAGCACCGGTATCTTTTAAATTATTCGTTGATTTTGTGTCAACTACACCATCATTTCTGATCCCATCAGGTTTATCCAAGTTATCGGTTGGATCGCATTGACCACAATCTATTTTTATTGAATAAACAATTTTATAATTTCGCACTATTGAGCATAATTATTTATATTGTAAATTTAATTATAATTATTATTACTATAGTTAATACGGTTGCATATGGATGGCCCTCTAATGTAAAGAAAACGTATGCAAAGTAAACAATAACTAGTAGATCGCCCAGGTTTGCCTTAAAAAGGCAGCCACCATTTAACCCTATGTGTACCGGAAGTTTTATGTGTTAGCCCATTTTTAATAAGAAAAACCTTATAGCCCAGTCATTAAATGGTGGCTGCCTTTTAAAGGCAAACCTGGGCGATCTACTAGTTATTATTTACTTTGCATACGTTTTGTTTACATTAGGGGCTATCTACCAGTATATACAGCCGTAATACTTCAGAGTCCCACCCAAAGTAAGATCCAAGTTAATATTCATGTTAATAACTTTGACTTTTATTAAGATCGACTTATTTTTAAGTTAATTGAATGATTATAAAATATATAGTATTTAATTTGAAACAAACTATTTTGTTTAAAAAATACTCTTTATAAATGTTAACATACAGGGATAAATGTTATAATTAATAACTTATAAAGTTATTTGTCTTAATTAATATTATTAAGCAATGTGTAGGAGTTGTTTGTAAAGTTACATATCTGATATGCAGTTAAAAGGTTTTAGTTAATAGATTTAATATTTTTAAAATGTAATAATAAAATTATATGATAATGTAGCTAATACTTACACAATACAGCCAATATAAATATAAATGAAATAAACACAGTACTCATCATTTTAGTCATTATAGTTTTTCGAGAAAATATTTTTAAAAAACAATTTTTAATCTAATTGATCACAGATGGATAATGTTTTTAATAAAAAAATTATTATAAAACACGATACCTAAGAATCACCTATATTAATAACTTGCGTAAGCTATTACCCGACTACAAGTCATGGTCATCTCTATAATAAAATTAACAATTAATAAAAAAGTTTAGAATTAATTATAATTATAAATTTTGAAAAAAGTTTAATAAAAACTAATTTTTATATATTGAAACGAAAACTATATGAGACTCATGACGTTATAATTACAATTAGGATACTTAAGTTAAAATTTATATTTAAAATAAAATAATACGCAGATCCCAAGATTGTATTGAGTCAGTGATTAGTTTATTTGTCAGATAGGTTAGGTTTGGGAAAGGGATCAGGTTATGGTTGTAATCACCAGAAAATGTATTACCTAATTGTACAAGTCAATATATTAATATTTTTCTGAATATTGTTTATATATATTTTTTATTTTACTGTATTGTAGAAGGTGCAATCTCTACCATTAGTAGGAATTTGAAATACATTGGATTTAGTGTAAGAAGTGTTGTAAATACAGTTAAACTGGATTTATTGAGTTAATTGGTCAGTTAGATTTTGATGGGTAGGGAAATGGATCAGATTATGATTTCTGATCATTAGAAAATAAATGAATAAATGCTGAATTTTGTTTTATTAAAATTTTTCAAAATTTATAATCATAATTAATACTAAATATTTTAGTAATAATATTGCAATTGTTAAATTTTTACTATAGGGATAACCATTACTTGTATTGAAAAATACAAAAATATTTTATGCAAGTAAGCTGGATCAATTAAGTTCAGACTCATTTAAATGTGACCCTGACAGAGTCCACTATCAATGATACCGAGCTCACGACCGCCAGCGGGGGTCACATCGAGTATCCTCCCGGCGACGAACGGTCCCCTGTCGTTGATCCTAACGCTGATAGACCTGCCATTACACGACGCCTGGACTACAGTCCCAAACGCTAGGGTCTTATGGGCGGCAGTCATGGCGTTTGGGTCGAAGGGTTCACCACTGGCTGTGATGGCACCGGCAGGTGCGTCGTACCACGAAAAGACACCATCCTCAGCTAGAAATGGCATAAATTTTAAAATTGAAATTACCATTTATAACCTCACAATTAAAATAGGCACAAGCATAAGTCTGTTTTTGTATAGACTTACCATAAGTTTGCGAAACTGTAATGAGAACCACAAGAGTTACCAATTTATACATCAGTTCTCTATGGGTTTGTAATTATATTAATTATACGATTGTATTATAATTATAACTATTAATTTTCGAGCGTAGCATCAAATCATTTTATACTAAATTTGAATGTCCTATCAGTAAATCATTCAACCATTTCCAGTGAAATACCTCGTGTTATTGAATTGTCCTGGATGTTTACTAATTGCATAATTAGATAAATAATCAATTCACAAATTTGAGTTTTTTGTTTAACTTTATAACCTTAATTAGTTTACATAATTTAAATTATTAGATAATTACTATTTATGGACATTATTTTCAGAAATTACTAAAAATTCTATTGAAAAGTATTTTTCTGAAAAATATTAATTTCATTTTAAAAGTGTATGAAATTGATATTAATTATCAATATTTGCATTAATTGCACTAAAATTGTATTTCCTATTGAGTGTGCATTGAAATTAATTTCCAAGAATTATTATTATTAATAATGCTTTTATATTTATAATTTATTTTGCTTTTAATCAGTGAAAATCAAATATTTACTTTGCTTTATATAATCAATAGATTTTCAGTACAATTGTTATTAAATATACCGTATCTAAAATATTTTGATCATATACATTAATATTATAACTTTAAAAATAAACAACACTTAAATATTTTACTAATTTTAAACTAATAAATAAAATATTTTGGTAATTAGTAACTAATAATAAATAAAGCGAGAACACAAATTTATAAACCCAGAATATTACGATTTTTAAATATTTTTTGATTAATTTATTAATACAATAATATCATGTATGTTGTTTGTTATGATCCATTACAATGGTCTCAGGGTCGCCCGGGACCATTGATTGAAATTATTTATTTATTTACTATTTGAATTTATCCTTGCACGTGCAATTTCAAAATGTACTGTAGAAAGATCAAATAGTGTTAGCGTAAGACGTGTTGTAAATACAGTAAAACTGTATTTATTGAGTTAATTCGTCAGTTAGATTTTGATAGGTAAGGAAAGGGATCAGATTATTATTGTGATCATCAGAAAATGTATAACCCAGTTGCACTACGCAAAATAGTAATATTTTTCTGTATATTGCTTTCAATGATTCATAGCAATGATAAGTGTGTCGTGAGAGACCAGTAATGAACGGATATTTCTTTATTATTTGAATGTATTGTCAATTTTCTATCATTAGTTGGATTTTGAGATATTATAGTGTTAGCGAGGGACGTGTAGTAAATAGAGTAACACTGGCTTGATTGAGATAATTGACCAGTCAGATTTTGATATATAGGTAGGGAAAACGAGCTCATCCAAAAAATAAAACTCAGTAGGAAACATCGAGTCACGAATCTCGATTGAGTGGTTCTAATTGTTATGAGTAGTTAGCCAGTAACACAATTAACATTTTGAATTGACTAAA